AATGCGGCGCTCAGCAATCCCATTTTGCTGTGGAGAGTCCGGAAGCGTGAAGGTCTGGCGGATGCCTCGTGCACGACAGTAGGCTCGCAGAAGGCCAGAGGAGAACTCTCCGCCTCTGTCAGAGTGCAGACGCAGAACAGGAAAGTCCGAGCCGAAGCTCCGCCTGAGCTGGAGACGAGCTGCGCGGATCCAGTCGATCAACACCTCAGTGACATCACCCTTGCTGCGCAAGGGGAAGACTGTGGTGTAACGCGAGTAGTCGTCAACCACCAGCAGGAAGTAGCGCTCGTGACCCTGTCCACGGACGCGGGCCGGGCCCCACACGTCCATGTGAAGCGTCTGCAGCGGGGCCTCTGTCGGAGGAAACTGGGAGGAGTGAGGGGTAGCCCGCTGTCGTCCCTCGACACAGGGGACGCAGGTAGGGCCAGGCCCCGGAGGAAGTGGAGGGAGGGACCGGGGAAGACCAGAGACAAGGACACGGGAGGCCATGCTCCGGAGACGAAGCAGGGAGGGGTGACCAAGGCGGTGGTGCCAGAGGAGAGTCTCGTGAGACAGGAGGCGACACGAGCAGGGGGCAGACTCAGGACCAGACCTGGACGCTGCAGCAAACACCTGACCCGACGCAGCTACCTGACCAGACGCAGGGACTGGGGGAGACGCAGTGGTCAGTGTGTACAGGCTCGACCCCGGCCGACGTGTAAACGTGGCCAGGTGTCGGCCTGTCCGAGCGTCCGTGCAGTGGGTCACCCGCTGACTCGCAGGAGTGAACTGGTGAACCCCCGCATCCTGTAGGTCAGCACCACTCACCAAGTTCGTAGAGAACGAGGGGAGGTAAAGACCAGACAGGGTGCCAGAGGGGGCCGCCGGACACGGGAGGACAGTGGAGAAGTGAGCAAGGACAGGACCCCCAGAGGGGTCTGCCAGAGAGACCGCAACTGGCCGGCCAAGCGGCGTGAGTGTGGTGCGGTCTCGAAAGAAGGAGCGAGAAGCCCCCGAGTCAAGGGTGAAGGTGTGGGAGGCCGAAGCCGACGCAGAACCTGAGAGAGCAGACTCACCAGTACCTGAGGGAGCAGACGCACCTAGAGCAGCAGCCTCGCTAGCACCTAGAGCAGCAGCCTCACCAGTACCTAGAGCAGCAGTCTCAATGCCCGGGTCGGGCGGAAAACACCGGTAACAGTCACCCTCATCACTAATAGTCACAGTATACATGGCAGCAAGAATAGCATCAAAGTCAAGGTCAAAGACAGCTACACCCGCCCTAAACAGCTCACCCCAGCGGGGGATCTCAGTGGCCTCAGGGAACTGGTGACGCCAAGCGTCCGTTAGGCGGCCAAAGCAGCGCTGGGTGGAGTGCGCACCCCCGCACTGCTCACCCGCGCGGTCGCCGGTGCGCAGGACGTAGGTGCACGGACCAGTACCCCCACCCCTCTGGCGTGCAGTGTACCACTCACGGAGCTGCTGAGGGGAGGGGACGTCACGAGTGCGCTGCTGCTGCTGCTGCTGCTGCTGCTGGCGCTGACCACCACCGGAGCCGACCCTCTGCGCAGCGCCACCCCGACCAGCTCCACCTCCTCCGCCGCCTCCTCCTCCACCGCCGCCACCTCCGCTCCCTCCGCCACCGCCGCTGCCGCCTGCGCCTCCACTGCCGCCACCTACACCTCCACCCCCGCCACCACCCCCACCGCCACCCCCACCTCCTCCACCGCCTCCACCGCCGCCTCCACCGCCCCCGCTAGCTCCTCCAGCGCCCCTGCCCCCCTTGCCCTTGCCAGGGCGGCGTCTCCCGCTAGGGGTAGACGCTGCCCCAACCGACTCCAAACCAGCGAGGTCGGCCGCAGCAACAGAGGCAACAGAGGGCAAAAGAGGGGAGGGGGAACACCCCTCAAAGATGGGGGTGCGAGGGTCACCACGAGAGGCTCCTACAGCGACTATGCTCTTTTCTGCTGCTAGGAGGGCCTTCTCGAGGAGGTCAACGGTGAGAGTGGTGGGGCAAACCGAGAGGAAGTGGTCCCTGACTACGCGAAGGGAGTCAGGGAGACGGGTGACTATGTAGTAGAGGGTGATGTACATGGGGGGGGGGTTCTTGGCGCAGAACTCAGCAGGAAGCGCAGCGCGGTAGCGAGTGTCACTAGTGCGGAGGTGCGTAATGAGGTCAACGACTGTGGGAAAGGCAGCAAGGTCAGGGAAGAGGTACGGTAGCATGAGGCGGCTCAGTGCAGCAGTGGCAGGGGAGGAGTAGCGTGCAACTACAGCGTCGTACAAGGTCTGAGCACTCTTGTACTGGCTAAAGTGCGCACGCTCAGTGGTAGGTAGGTGGCGACGCACAGCAAGACGTGCAGCAGCATCGCGCGTGGCCCACTGTGAGCGAACAGTGGCGTCAGCATCAGCAGCGGGGGCAGGAGAGGCACCAGAAGTGAGGTCAAAGAGGGAGAGGCCGTCTGCCCTATCGCACTGTAAGAAAAGCTGCAGGTCATCTATCCAGACTTCAAAGTCTATGGCCCGACCCTCAGCGTCAAAAGCGAGGACACTAGGGGTAGCCATGACAGCAGTAGACTAGCAGTGCAAACAGTAGGGTGAGGGCAGTGCTGTGAGAGAGGCGCTGCTCTTACCGGACAGGGCGGCTCGGGCGGCTCGGCTGCAGAGCGGCTCGGCGACTCGACGGCTGGGCGACTCGGCTGCTGGGCGGCTCGGCTGCTCGGCTGCTGGGCGGCTCGGCTGCTGGGCGGCTCGGCGGCTGGGCGGCTCGGCTGCTGGGCGGCTCGGCTGCTGGGCGTATCGGCGGCTGGGCGGCTCGGCTGCTGGGCGGCTCGGCTGCTGGGCGGCTCGGCGGCTGGGCGGCTCGGTTGCTGGGCGGCTCGGCGGCTCAGCGGCTGGGCGGCTCGGTTGCTGGGCGGCTCGGCGGCTGAGCTGCTCGTAGGAGTAGGCGCGGGGGCCGTAGGTTCAGGCGCCGGGGCCGTAGGAGCAGGGGCCGGAGCCGCTAGGGCGGCGGATCGGGGCCGCGAGGGCGGCGGATCGGGGCCGCGAGGGCGGCGGAGTAGGGGCCGCGAGGGCGGCGGAGTAGGGGCCGCGAGGGCGGCGGATCGGGGCCGCGAAGGGCGGCGGATCGGGGCCGCGAGGGCGGCGGAGCGGGGCCGCGAGGGCGGCGGATCGGGGCCGCGAGGGCGGCGGATCGGGGGCCGCGAAGGGCGGCGGAGTAGGGGGGGGGGGGGGGGGGGGGCGCGAGGGCGGCGGATCGGGGCCGCGAAGGGAGGCGGCCGGCGCCGCGAGGGTGGGGCCGCGGGGTCGCTAGGGTGGGGCGACAGAGCCGCGAGGGCGGCTCGAAGGGGCCGCGAGGGCGGCGCGAAGGGGCCGCTAGGGCGGCGCGAGAGAGGGGAGCGCGACTCGGGCAGGGGCTGAGTGCGCTCCGGGCAGGAAAAAAAAAAAAAAAAAAAAAAACGGTGGGCCCTAGGAACAGTTCCCACGAGGGAACCTGCTCGATACCATGAGAAGAAACAAGGAATGGAATGACTAAGGGAAAGTTGGGTACAAAATGCAAACCCTAGAAAACTGTACCCCATATGTGCTACCCCACTATAGCCTACAGTAGCTCTGTCATATAAATCTGACATCCCCGTTCTTTCTGAATTACGGGATGGACCCGGTGGTACCAACCACCACGACACACGACAACCCGGTCCCATGGTCACAAACATTTGTGACAGAACTTCAGGAAATCCGCGAGAAAGCAGCCGACGCTATTCGCAAGGCGAATATTACTGCCCGGAAATACTCGGATCTTCTACGACGAGAAATCGTCATGACGCCTGGGCAACTAGTGCTACTCGACACGAAAAACCTACGCCTGCCCGGCTCGAACAAACTACGGCCACGATTTTGTGGGCCTTTCCGCATCATCCAGATGGTGACACCTGTCACTGCGAAGCTGCTGCTACCCGACGACTGGCGTATACACAACGCCTTCCATGTCAGCCTCCTTCGCAACTTCGTGCCTGCCACGACAGACATTACGCGCCAGAACGCCGCCCCGACGGCTCGACCCGTCCCGGAACCGACAACCAACCCCTCGAAGATTCTCTGACATCGGATCCGGCTCAACGCCACTGGACGCCACGTGGACTTTCTAGTCCGATGGACTGACCGCACCAGTGAGGACGACACGTGGGTGCCTTCCGCATCGCTTGAAGCTTCCCCGCTTCTGGGTGATTATTTCGCCCGCAAGCGAGTTGCGGATATTGACCACCTTGCTTAAGGGGGGGGGGTAGTGTAAGGATTTTTCCTTTATCCTTACCGGGGTTGACTGCTACGCGTACAACCCCGATTTTCGGACTTGCACGTTCGGCCGACATCAACGATGCCGAGGCTCCTCCTCGTCGCCTTCGGCTTTCCGTCGCCAAACCTGCACCCAACCCCGTTTCCCGAGGTTCCCTCCTAGCTAGGGTATTCACTATATAGTCGCGTGCCTTCGTTGTAATCGACAGTTCATTTAGTCACAGCTTCGTTATTCGTTATTCCGTGCACTCTCCATTACAACTCATTACAGACACCCTCGGCCCGAATAGAGGAGCTCCGTTCTGGCCCAAATGTAACAACCCCTAAAATGCATTTTATTGCATTTTAGCACATTCTCCTTCGAATTGTGCTGGCTGGCACCAGGCTTCCACGTGTTCGGTTATCACCCGTACGTGGCAACCTCGTTTTCGTTACATGGCGACTCGTCAGCTGGGTCGTTCTCCAGCCGCGATGCGCCTCTCGTACGCGCCGCGCTCGTCCTCTCTCTGTCTCTCGCCTCTCGTGGGCAGAATCACAGGGGCGCTCCATTCCGCGGCTCCCTGCTGCTCCACACGTCACACCCTTCCACCTCCGACCCTTGGACCTCCCTCCCACCCTTCCATGCAAAACACACACTCGCCATGGCGTCCTCTCGTCGTGCTGGCGGCACGGAGGGACACGGAACTTTGCTCAGAGGAGCGGAACAATGCACGGGACGGCCGCGACGGCGAATGGTGAACGCGCTGACGGGCGGGTCGACGCAAGGCGCTCTCCGCGGCAGCAAGCTGCTGCGCAGCGAGGGGCGCGGATTCGCCGCCATGGCCCGCGTGGTGGTCGCCGCCGGCAGTGCTGCTGCGGCGCTCATGCTGCTTGCACCGAGAGTGGCGCAGGTAGCTTGAGGCGCCTACGCGCGTAGGGCAGACACACTGCCACCATGTGCCCTTCGTGTGCCCTTCGTGTGCCCTTCGTGTGCCCTTCGTGTGCCGTCGTCACCATAATCCTTCGCGCTCATACTCCCGCTCCTCTCTCCGTACCTTGCCTTCCCCTGGTGCTCACAGTGGGCGCGAGCAGCGCGGCCGGCGCATGGCCGGCTAAACCCTACGCACGCACTGCACGCCGCCGCCGGCACTGCCGGCAGGGACGGCGGCAAACGAGGGCTGGCCACCCAGAGCAGTGACGAGGAGGGTAGGGCGGGGCGGCAGCTGGAAAGTGGGGAGCGGGAGCAGAGGTCGAGGGAGCGGCAGGGAGAAGGGGCAGCAGCAGCAACAGGGGGAGAAGCGGGGGATGTGGAGAGCTCGGGCATGGAGGGCGGTGGAGGGGAAGGGCCAGTGGCGGCGCCGGGACCGATGGAGATGCTGGCGCGCGGGCTGGCGTGCATCCAGGCGAACCTGGGCCCGTGGTCCGTGTCCGACCTCACCCTCGGCCTCGCCGTCATGGCCAAGGTCGCCCTGCCCCTCCTCTGCTGCCACCCCCACTTGCCACTGCCACCCAACCTTGTCCTGCCTCCACCTATCCACTTCATCCATCTTCCCCTTCCCCCTCATGCTAACGCCTCTCTCCTCTCTTCCCCTGCTCGTCTCATCCGCTCAGGTGACGGCAAAGCGCCCCCCTCCCCCACCGCGTGGGCGAGTGGTGGCGCCTGCGGAGGTGGGTGTGGCGTACCTGGTGGAGTTGCAGCGCCTGAGGGCGCACGCCGAGGCCGTGTACTCGGGGGACAGCACCACCTGGTCGCTGCAGGTCACCTCTCCACCGCCCTCTTGCCCAACCCAACCCAGTCGCACATAACGTGTTGCACATAGGGAGTATATCCATTGGCGTTCTGTATTGTTGAGGATGTCTCATATTTGGACGACTGCTGCAGTCGATGATGCTGTCAAGGGATTCAAAGGAAGTTGGTTCAAAGGGGTTGTTGCTAATTGTACGTCCATGCTTTGCCATGACTACTGTCTCGCTCGTTCTTCATCACTTTCCTCGCTGTTCCGGTCCTGGTTCATCCCCCTCAATCGCACCCTCAGGGTGGCAGTGTGGCAGTTGCTCGTTAAGCCACATCTGACAGGTAAAAGCGCCACAACGATTGCAATTGCAAGGGTCTCCCAGAAAAATTCAGCAAGAACGATGGCAAATCCAGGCCGCCAGAGTGACGCGCAACCCAAGAATCAGCCCTGTTCTCGACTCCCCTCTGTCTCCCCTGGTGGACCCTCTGCCCTGTTCTGTTCTTCCCATGGTGTGTCTCAACTCCCATTCTCTCCTCTCCCTTTTCCTCCCTCCCCGTGCACAGACGTGTCTGCTGGAGTCGGCCATAGTGCATGCGCAGTGGCAGCCGCACAACCAGCGTGTGCGTCCGGCGTTTGTGGTGTGCGTGGACGCACAGCTGGGGGCCGTGGTGGTGGCTGTCAGAGGCACCTCCGACACCGCTGACATGCTCGTCAATGCCGGCACCTTTCCACACGATTTCCTGGGCGGCAAAGTGCACAGTGGATTTCTGCATGCCTCTACACATTTGCTCTAGTAGGCACCTGCTCAGCCTGAACCAGTATTTACTGCTTCACCCACCACACACCTTATGTGTTCCAAATGAATGCTCTGGTTTGATTCTGGCTCGTGAATGCAGCCCCACACTTGCCTGACCCGCTTTGGTCCGCCAGCATGACAAGTGCACAGAGCTGAACTGTCACCCTGTCTTACGTGGCTCTCTTTTGCGTGCCTCACTTGTGGCCGTGCAGTGAGGCCCGGGACCACATCGAGCACGCACTGCGCACGTGGCATGGCATGCCGGTGCGGCGCCTTGTGTTCGTGGGGCACAGCCTGGGCGCCGCTGTGGCCATCTTGGCCGGCATGAGAACAACCGCCTGCACCCGCACCCTCATGCACAGGGCAGCGCAGGTCATGGCGAGGCATCAAGAGACAGCATGCATGCTGTGACAGGTGACAGCCACTCTCGTGCTGCTCCTGCCAAGCGTGGTGGTAGGCGTGGTGGCAGGGGGCGGAGGTCAGAAGGGCGGCAGCACGAGAGGAGGTGGGGGGACAGGGAGTCAGAGGAGCTGCAGGAGGCAGCGGCGGAAGCAGTGGTGGGAGCAGGGGAGGGGTTGGATGGTGTGGAGGTGCAGTGTGTGGGGTATGGTCCGCCTGCATGCATGACTTTGGACTTGGCCTACCAGTGCACCTCCTTTGTCACCTGTGTGCTAGTGCAGCACGACTTAGTGCCTCGGTATGTGCATCTCTTGCCCGAACGCCTCTACTTTATGGTTTCCCATACGCTTCTGCTTGTCCGTGTTTGCCTCCATGCCCTCGTCCGCCCCACCCCTGCCTCCTATGGTCCCCTGTTTGCCACCGGCAGGTTCTCTCTTGCCAGTGTGGAGTTGCTGCGGCAGGCCATCGGCACGTTTGACTGGGAGCATGCAGAGGCTGTGGTGGGGTGGCATGACGAGGACTGGCAGCGCCTCAAGGCGGCCAGGGACCTGCTCACGCGCCTCAAGGACCTGCAAAGCACGGCCGTGGGGGCAGCGGCAGCCGTGCAGGGGAGTGCAGTGTCGGCGGCAGCAGCAGTGCAGCAGTCAGCGGCGGGTGTAGCGGCCTCCGTGCAGCAGTCACCACTGCTGGGGGTTGCAGTGGGGGCGGCTGGAGCAGTGCAGAGCCAGGCAATGGGTGCGGCAGCAGCGGTGCAGGGAGCTGCGGTGGCAGTGACGGGGGCGGCAGTTGGGGTGGGTGGCAAAGCACAGGAGCTCCAGCACGTGGTGGCGGAGAGGGTCTCTGAGAGCGTGTCAGATGCCATTCCACAAGGGGTGGTTGAGCTCGTGGGGGGCGCAAGGGCGAAGCAGCAGGAGAATGGTAGCAAGGGGCAAAAGGGGGGGGCGAATGAGGGGCAGTTGGGCAAGGTGATGCGTGGAATCGATGGGCAGTCAAGGAGTGGGCAAGGTTTGGATGATGTGGTTGAGGAGGATGGGGCAGAGAGTGCTGAAGGAGATGGCATGAAAGCAGGGGGGGGGAAGAGAGCGGAAGAGGCAGGGGAGGACTAGCAGGCAGATCAAGAGTGGGTGGAGGCGCAACACATGGAGGGTGGGGCGGATGCCATTGGCTCTAATAGCGACAGTGGGGAAGGCGGTAACAGTAACGACGCTGGGGAAGCTGGAATGGAGGCTATGGTGCAGAGAGGTGAGTGCAAGGACGAGGGAAGTGGCGTGGAGAGAAGTAAGGTGGCGGAAACAGTGGACAGCGACGAGGATGGGAGCACTGAGGGGAGAGAGGGTAAAAATGAGGAGCGGGCTGAAAAGCCAGAGAGTGCTCATGAGAAGCAGCAGCAAGAGGATTTTGCGCCACCCCTTTACCCCCCTGGTCGTCTGCTGATGCTGTGCTGCGACCCCCCTGGTTGTGGCCATCGCCCCACCACTCGCAAGGAAGTGCATCCGCAGAGGCAGTTTGGTGTGTTCCCCTCGCACGAGGAGGTGGCGGGAGGTCACATGCGGTGGCAGGTGGTGGAGGTGCAGCAGGAGGCGGTGCGCGAGATAGTGGTGTCGCCGTGGTGCATCAGCGACCACATGCCAGGCACCATGGGCGAGGGGCTCAACTGGATCATGGCACATGTGGGGGAGGGCGAACGGTGCAGGGTGGAAGGCGGGAGGGACAATGGTGAACGAGGGGTAAGGAAGCGGGAAGAGTAGCCAGCAAAGAGAGGATTGGCTGGTGAATTTAGCCCGAGGATTGGTTGATGGATTTTGGACAAGGACTTGGCTGATGTGATGAATTCAGAACAACTCATTTTTGTTAAGTGTGCTTACATTATACCCTATGAAAGTGAACATTCTACAGCTGTACTGTATTTGCAGTAGCTCTGTAGTGTCAAGAGAGCCTCATGCTGTTTGCTTATGATGCTATGGTATTTGCTTATACAACACTCCCATTGAAGGTATCCTTCAATTCAACCCATGGAAGTAGCATATTGTGGTGTCAACCCACAAGCAATTATTCAAGAGCCAAATGCATATATTCTTAGTCTCACACAACTTATGTGGGGGGTCTACAGCACTGGCCGAAGCTATCACTCATACAGCTCGCGAAGAGTGAATAAGGGGAACCTATGTTAGCTGTTAGAGCACAAAGCCGACATTAGTGCCGCGGTACTAAATTAGCACGAGTGTAGACGCGCGAGACTTTGTCAGCGGAGCACACCATCCATCATGCCTTTGAACTCCGAGAAATTAAGGCAGCCGTCTCTGTTCACGTCCACCCGTGCAATCATCGTGTGGCAATCCTCCATGCTGAGCTTGTTGCCGCTCAGCATGCGCATGGCATTCTGAAGCTCCTCCGCGGTGATGCTACCGTCACCGTCGTGGTCGAACAGCTCGAATGCCTTACGCATGTCCTCCTCCTCTTCCTTCGCCATCTCCACAATACCGCCTGCCCCGCCGCCACGTACGGCCGCGCGGTTAAGCGACGAGTACACGAACTCTTCGAAGTCAATCAGTCCGTCGCCGTTGGTGTCTGCCTTCGCCATCAGCTCCTGCATCGCCGACTCGTCCGCCCACCCCATGCGATCCAGAACCTGCCTCAACTCCTACTGGGAGATTTTTCCATCGCCATTCACGTCGAGCACCCTGAACGCCTGCAGGACCTCATGGTTCCTAGAGGCGGCCTCCACCGAAGATTGACCCTGCATCTGTGTCGTATTTACGGGCCTCACCCGCCAAAGTGGGCACGATAGGGCTCCAACCGTCAGGAAAACGGACGCGGAAGTGAACCCTAGGAAACTCGAAGCCTCTTGTTCCAAGATCCGACACTATCCGAAACAACGTACTCATTAAACGCAAGGGAACGAAGTACCAGAAAAGAAGGATGGTGGCTGCGCTGACTCACGGCATGGAGGGAGGTTGAGCGTAAAAACTTGGTCGGCTGTTTTTTGTCCTTGGAAATGGAAACCAGGGTGCACATTCAACGCGGTTCGGCTTGAGATGTTGGGAAGGGGGTTTGGAGAAAAACAGTGATTGGCTCACGAGGGGCGACAAAAAAATGATTCCGCTAGAGCTTCGGGCATTTCGTAGGTGGCGGGAGGGGGTGAAATGGCGGGAGTGGGTGAAACCGAATGGCGGGAGGGATGAAACAGATTGGCGGGAGGGGGGGGAAACGAAATTGCGGGGGAGGGGGGAAACAAAATTGCGGGGGAGGGGGGAAACGAATTTCGACGGGGAGGGGGAAATGAAATTGCGGGGGCGTGGGGAAACGAAATTGCGGGGGAGGGGGGAAACGAATTTCGACTTGAAGGGGTTGAAAGCACACCTCGTAACCCACTCAGTCAAGGGATAACCTTTGATGCACATTCAGCTGAATGTGCACCCCGGTTTTAAGTGGTTTGCGACAAACCAGAAACCACGACTTCGGAAGTCTTAGCTCAATCTCAGTAATGGAAACCCAAGTCGTGCCTTTTAAAATGTTGCGTAAACACACCCCAAGTAAATGGGTATACCTTGACTGCCCTGGAGAATCACTGACCTTAATACATGCATCCGCGTGTAGCACCAGACCAACACACCATCCAGGGCCCAGCAGGTCGAGATTCTGTAGGGTGTGTCACTATTTTTGGAGCACTTGGGTAAGTATTTTGTTACGAATGCTGCTGTGTAAGGAAAATTACCTTTCCTTATCAGGGTTGACTGCTACACGTACAACCCCAACACTTTCGGACTTCGCACGTTAGGCCGACATCCACAATTCCTGAGGCTGCCTCGCGTCATCTTCGGTTTCCCCTTCGCCGAACCTGCACCCAATCTCGTATTCCCGAGGTTCCCGCCTAGCTAGGGTTGTCACTATATTATCACGTGCCTTCACTGTATTGTCAGTTCATTTGGTCACAGCTTCGATATTCGTTTTCCGTGCAAATCTGGTTTACAACTCATAACACCTTGAATCAGAGCTACTTTCCTAGTTCACCCCGCTTTTCGAGGGTAGTTTAGTAGCACGGGTGTGGCTGGTACAGTGGACTGCAAGACGGTTGGCTGCAAAAATTGTTAACTTTACCCGCCCGACTCCGATAGTTCTTGCTTTTCACTTGCCTGAAGGTCACGGATACCCCTCTGCCTACTAGACGAAGTTTGCGACTCATGAACCTAGAGGCATTCAACAGACTCATGCAGCAAATGGCGGACATGCACGCTACTCTGAAGGCACTAACGACAGAAGTTGGGCAGTTACGAGAAGAAAACTACGAGCTATGCCAGACACGAGGTGAAGCGCGTTAGGAGCCGCCCGTTGAAGAAGGCGAAGGCAACATTCAAGCGGTGAGCAATCCCTTGGACGGGCTCATACGTGACTTCGAAGAAGACGACAATTGTAGTAACGACGATCAAGATTTAACCTGCGAGCCCACCCCCGTTCAATCCCACGGACAAGAACACCACAGTGAAGGGGTGGCTCTTCGGCGTTGAAGTCTTATTCACTGCTTCGAGCGCTAACGACGATGCCACGCATATTAATTACGTGGTTTCTCTTCTGCGAGGCCCACCGCTTGAGTGGTGGCACCGAACCTTGGATACAGGCTCCGACAGGTGTGACACATGCAGCAGACGGGGCCTCAACCTCGGCAAATGGGAGGGCATCATCAATATCCGGTGTGGGTACAATTCACACGTGGAAGGAGTAGGGCGCAGCCTTACGAGATCACTTCGAGCATGTATCCGCCTTGGAGCAAGCTCACATGAAGCTGGGTGCCTGGTCGCAGCTGGCTTCTGCTCAAGATTACACATGTCGGAACCAGAACGGTTGGATAAATACATCAGCGGCTTCAAATATGAGATACAGGTTAAAGTGCGTCGCAGCCGTCCAGCTACCTTCATTGAAGCCGTACGATTGGCATAATCCACAGATGCCTAGACACTGCCCTGACAAAACGCCGTTGAAGCGGAACGACGGGAAGGAGCAGGGAAATGGGAAGAGTCAGTAATTAGCGGGCCCCTTACTGACTATGCTCCGTCGCCCAAACACCAACATCCCCACCGAGTCGTGGTTCTGATTCATGCAAGCGATCGCACTTTGCCAAATTACGATGATAACCATGTGGATCACCCTGTGCTGGTCGCTGGCATAGTGTTATAGAAAATATATATTAAAAAAAAGTTTGTCGATGGAAAAAAAAAATGCAAGTTGCAACTGCACAGGTGCCTACCTGAAATTAGCGCCCGTCTCTTGGATGGGACGCCTCTTGCGAGTTTGGAAGAAACAGGGATGGTGCGGATTGAGTGCGGCGACGATTTCGGTTTCAGCGTGAAGTTTCTCGCGACAACATTGGACAGCTGCGATGTGCTGCTGGGACATGATTGGCTACGACGGCATAACCCGACGATCAACTGGACAACGGGCTCGTGCAGCATCCGCAAGCACGAGGGGCAAATTACGCTGCCCGCGTGGACTTCGGAGCACATCCAGGCCACAAACGTCAAAGTCATAACAATTTCGCAGCACTTCAATAAGGACGCACAGCTGTATGCCGTCCGATTGCGCGAGTTGGCAACTGACACCGACGGGACACCGACGGAACCGACATCGAGAAGCTCTGCGCAGCTGTCCCGGACGAGCTAGCGCATCTGATTCGTTAGTACCCGGAGATATTCTCCGACGACTTGCCACCTGGATTACCACCCGAACGCTCCGAGGACCACAAAATACAGTAGGAGCCTGGCACGCAACCGACAATTCGTACACAGTGGCGGCTGACTCAGCACAAACTCGAGGAGCTGCGAAGCCAGCAGGATGGCCTACTGGGGAAAGGTTTCGTAAGACCCAGTACGTACCCCGCAGCACCGATCCTGTTCACGCCGAAAATGGAAGATGGCCTTCGCATGTGTATTGACTATCGCACGCTCAACAGGGTTACTATCAAGTCTTGCTATCCCATCCCATGCCCCGACGACCTCCTCGATCAACTTCGCGGCACTCGCTACTTCTCGAAGAGCGACTTACGTGGCAAGATATAGGAAACCTAACCCGGACAAAACACGGGAAACGACAGGACGGGAGGCACGGAGGTAGTCGGAGAACGGGTCGGTAGACAGTAAGGGACGACTCAGGAGGTTGTGGACGGGCCGGAGGAGGTGGAACACGAGAGCGGAGAGCAATGTGAAATGGGCCGTCGGCACGGTAACGAGACCGACGAGGCTCTGGAGACACAACACGACTGAGGGGAGCACGACGAGACCACAGGGACAAGGAAATGGAATGGACATAGGGAACATGAGGAGACGGTAGGGGACCACGGACCAAGCGTGCAGGTGCTGGGTCGGGTAGGTCTCTCAGTCGCTGATGCTCCGCCTCCTGCTGGCGTCTGCTGCTGCGGCACCTGCCCCTGCTGCTGCTCCCGCTGCTCCGGCTGTGGCTCCTCCTCTACCCTCTCTTGCTACGGCTGCAACTGCACCTGCTGCGGTCGCGACTCCTCTACTCTCTCCTGCTGCGGCTGCAATTGCATTTGCTGCTGCGGTCGTGACTCCTCCTCTACCCTCTAATGCTGTGGCGGCAGCTGAACCTGCGGCTGCGGGTGTGGCTCCTCCGGTACCCCCTCTTGCTGCTGCTCGTGTGGCTGCTCCTCTACTCTCGCTAACCGCTCCTGCTCCTCCCTCTCTAACTGTAAATGACGCTGCTGGCGGGTCAGGAAACGTACAGTGCGCGGTGTGGGAGC